GACACAACATCTTTGTATGTGGTGCTGAGGCTCGAACCCGGGCCACACGCATTCCAGGCGAGCGCGCTACCGCTTGAGGCACATCCCCAGCCCCAGCAGTGACATTTTCGAAAGTGCTTTATGTGTTGGCGTCCTTGATTCTTACTTGGCACCTCTCCAGGGCACTTGTCTCCCCTCGTGTCCAGGTAGCCGTGAACTCACCTGGGCCAGCTCACTGTGCTCTTTGTTTAAGCGTTTATCTTACTCCTGTTTGTCTCCTTGGGCTGTTTGGTGCCCTCAYATCCTTGGTCCCTTCTGAGTGTGGCTGTGGAATAGAACTGAAAATCGTGTGGAGAGCCACAGACAATTGAGTTATTAGCTAGAGTCTCCCCACCGGAGGAGCAAACAAGCGGAGCAGAGATACGAGGGCAGGAGATTATTTTAGGCTGTCAGATCCCAGCCTGCACCACTCACGCTGGCCTGCCTGTGAGGATACTCTGCTGGGTGTGACTCCCTTGCTGGGCCAGTATCAGGTCAGATGAACGTGCCATGAGCCCTCAACGTCATCAGAAGGCCCCACAGCTTCACCCCACCTCTCAGCCACCAAGGCCTCCTCCCACCTCCTGTGTGGGTGCTGGGGAGCTCAGCAGCCTTCCCAGTGGAAGCCACTGGACATCCAGMACCTGTCTTTGGAGGAAAGCCAAGGAGGCATTTCTCTGGGAAGACAGCCACACCCTACTTAATTTGAACCTATGTCATTTCTTTAGATTCGGTGCTCTCCTGGGGACCTTACCTGTACAGCATGGTGAGTAAGTGGGTTCTCACCTTCGCACCCTCCGTGGGGAACAGCCCMGCAGCCCTCTCCACTCTGACCTCCTCCTGTCCCCAGAAAGAGGAAGCTAGTTGAGTTTGCACAGATGGTTGATAGTGTTCCTTAGGGACAATTAGTCCAAATTAAATTAGAGACTCTAAGCAACCGCCGGCCTTGGGGAGAAATTCAAAGAAAATCAGCACACTTATTCATTTTTTTTTACAGATATAAGAAGCATAATTTTAAGCTCCCTTTGTAGCATAAGAAATTGGAAATCACCTCAAAGTTGAAAGATCATAGGGAACACCCACCTACCCACCTTCTCAATTCAGTTAATTTTCTACTGAATTTATCACATCATCAAAAAATTGTGACTTGGACTGGGAATGTAGCTCAGTGATAGTGCACCAGTCTAGCATGCATGATCCCCAGGACTGATGGGGGACTTGTGACAATACCCGTTCACATGTGAGCTCCCCTGTCTCCTTCCTCCCACTCTTTCTCCTGCCCATCCTTGGCCACTGAAACACCAGATTTATGTCCCCAAGTAAAGGATACCTTTTTGTTCTTTGCTTGCATTCCAGTCTCTTCTGGAAGACAAAGGTCTGGCAGAGGTGTCCAGTGTCGCGGAGCAAGTCCTGGATGCTGTAAATAAAGGGTTCTACACGGAGGCCACCCAGCTGTGGGGGAAAGCAGAAACCATCATTGAAAAGGTAAAGAGGACATGCTCAAGGACCATCATGGCTTGGCTTTTTCCCATGGGTACAGGGGCCCAGGACTGGTATTGTCAGGATTGGGTTGGTGTCTCTTCTGGGTCTCCCCACAAAGCTTGAAATAATTACATGCAAAATGATAAATCTGACGGATCTGAGCCGTGTTGTAGTGACCACTTAAAGAGTCAGAAAGTCACCAATGCCTGCCAAACTTGCTTGTCCTTGACTGTATTCTAAGAAGACTGTGTAAGTGTAAAAGTTTGGAGATTTTTTTTTTTTTTTTTTTGGTACCAGGGATTAAACCCAGGGGTGCTTAACCACCGAGCTACATCCCCACCCCTTTTTATTTTTTATTTTGAGACAGGGTTTCACTAAGTTGCTTAGGGCCTTGCTAAGTTGCTGAGGCTGGCTTTAAACTTGCGATCCTCCCACCTCAGCCTCCTGAGTTGCTGGGATTATAGGTATGCTCCACCGTGCCCGGATTTTTAGCTACTCTTATTTGGATCCTTGCCAAGCAACATTCTGACTCCAATGTACCAGAAGGGAAGAATGCACCAGCCGAGGAGCCTCCATAGCTCTGACACAGGCCCTGGGTGGTCTCCTGTGGTGTCTAAGATGGGTTCTGATGAGCTTGGTGTCAGCCCCTGAAGTGTGGGCTGACCCAGCTGTTTTCTGCACCTTTAGAGCTGCATCTCTCTCTGGTGCTAGTAAATTTCCAAAGCTAAAGCCATCCTTGGAGGCTATGTGCCTTTCTTTTTTACACCTTATGATAGGGAAAAAAAAAAAAGAAAGAAAAACAGCCAAATGTACTTGTGTATTTCAGAACGCAGATGGGGTGAACTTCTATAACATCTTAACTAAAAGCGATCCCACGTCTGCCATGGAGTCAAGCCTAGAGTTCACCCAGAGTCATTTAGGTGAGTGAACCTTAGCGCCCTTAGCTCCTGCCTCAGTCTTCATCCCAGAAGGAACCCATCTTTTAAAAAGCTTTATGAAGATATACTTTACATACCACAGAATTCACCCATTTTTAAGTGGATAACGGGTTTTAGTTATTCACAGAGTTGTGCAGCCATCACCACGATCCAGTTTTAGAACATTTCTGTCACCCCAAAGAGAGCCCACATGTCTGTCTGCCRTCACTTCTCTTTCCCACACCCGGCCCCAGGCAGCCACTGATCTGCCTTCTGCTTCTCTTGGTTTGCCTTTTCTGAACATTTTACAAAAATGGAATCAGACAATAGTCTTTCGCATCTGGCTTCTGTTGCTTAGCATATGCTTTTCTTTTTCTCTTCTTTATCTTTTTTTTTTTTTTTTTTTTTTTTTTTTTTTTTTTTTTTTTTTTTTTTTTTTTTTTTAGGCTATGCTAGGAATCCTATCCAGGGCCTGGCGCATGCTAGGCAAGCACTCTGCTACACTCCACACTCCCAGCCCCTGGGGAACCAGCTTGTGTCCACCCATTTACCGTGTCAGATCCCCGAAGAGCTGAATTTAGTGGTCTTTCTGACTCAGGTTCACTTCGGAGGCAGAATGCCTAGAATCCTCCCTCATAAGAGGCCTGAACRGCTGTAGGAATCTTGCTAGATTCCTCTTCTCAGCAGATTTTCTCAGGCTGTTCTGGATCACCTCAGTGGCCCACAGTGCACGGGATGCAGTCATCAACACGAATAGTCTCTCCTCTGTCATTCTGTTCCCAGCTTTCTTCCTCCCCCCGGGGTGAATCCAGCCCCAAACCTCCCTCTTCCTGCCCAGTTTCCCCAGCAGCTTGGGAAAGATGTCCCCGTGGTCATGTTTCCTGTCCTTTGACTCGCTGCCTCCCTGTTTGGTTTCAGTCCGTCTTTTTCAACGCCACGTGAGACACCTACAAGGAGATGCCTTAAGTCAGCTCATGAATGGCCCCATCAGAAAGAAGCTCAAAATTATCCCTGAGGATATCTCCTGGGGAGGTACTTATGTGACCTGATTTGTAGAGTTTGGGGGAAGAAAGTGCAACATCAGAGGTCTTAATTTGCGCAGTGGGTTTCGGTGGCAATGGTATGTTACAGGTAAAACAGTACTACCTGTCCACATTTTGCAGATGAGGAAGCAGGTGGAGAGACAGTCGATGACGTGTCAAGTTTGGTGGAAAGCAAGGGGATGGCAGGGAAGCGGGTGGAGAGAGAAATGGCAGGTGATCGGTTATGAGTCAATAATTGTGGAAACCTAGTATGGGTATATGGGAATTATATTCTTCTCTTTACCTTGGTAATGGTTTGGGATTTTCCATAATTTTATACGTGTGTGTGTGTGTGTGTGTGTGTGTGTGTATGTGTGTGTGTGTATAGATAGATAGGTAGATATAATTTTACGCATATGTATTTTACATATATATGATAAAAAAGCCATGCCCAAGGCTGCAGCTGGTCACAGATGAGATGTCCAGCCAGAGGTCCTCTGAAGGATGCAGATACGCTCATGGGCTTGGTCAGATCTTGACCAGCTCTCTTGCCAGCCTCCCCAACCACCCAATGCTGGATGTGCTTAGCCGTGTACCACATTCTGGTCTGAAGGCTATAGTATGGAAATATTGGTGTCTCAAGAGACCAGAGCCAGGAGGAAAGCCTCAAAAAGTTCCCCGCCTAGTCCAATAGGGAAGCCTTGAGCAAGCAGCACTCTCGAGTTTCTGGAGGAAAAACATTCCATGCTCCTTGAGAGGGGGTTTGGTTTGTATCTGAGATCCCCCAAGACTGTGGGGTCAGGAGACCCCTTTCTAGGGTGTCTCCTTGGCGTCTGCCAAAAAGCTGAGATAGTCCAGGATCATGGACTATCTTATCCCAACATGCATGCACTAGAAGGCTCATTCTAGACCTAGTTATCTTATTTTCCTGGATCAAATGCAAGGATAGAATATGTATGAAGCTGCAAAGGGAGGGTACCACTGCAGAGAGCTGTCATGCCACAGAGCGACATGGGGAATCACAGGAGGCCAAGTGTAGGGCACGCTCACGAGCACATCTTTTCTGCTCACCACCCTCATTTTATCTTCATGATGATTTTTTTCCTAGCCCCAGTGAATGGGCAAGGTGACTATATTTTTGCAGATGATTGCTGATAGAAAGAGGAAATAAAACCAAAAACATCTCTTTGGCTCCATATCTGCCTGTGTGTGATCAAGAAAGGACAAATTGTTCTTGGACAATACCCCAGAGTCTTGAGTTGCAGTCTGTAGTGAAACTTACATCTTAGTGTCAACCAGGCCTGAGTTCAAGTCTTAGCTGGCTACTGACAAGCTGTTTGACCCTGGGCATTTTCTCGGCCTCTCTGAGCCTCATTTTTAAAAAATTTTGTCCAAGTTAAGGCCCCTTATCTCTCAAGGTAGTGATAAAAAAAAAAAAACAATAAAATGCTCACTTAGCACCGTGACTGGCAGATAAATGGTGGCCTCTGCTGTTATTGTWGTCATCCAATGTGATGCTGCTGCTGATGGCTATAACCCAGCAGGAATGCTGGGTTGCCTGGCTCCTCTCCAGCCCGGCGTCTGTTGTCCCTTTTATTTTCCTGTGGGCCAGCTGTGAACTGGTTTAGTTCTGGTTTGGCTCATTGTAAGGTAACCAGCCTCGTTCAGGACTTGGAAGGTGGCCCTGGTGTTACTCAGCACAAAAGAAAGAATAACATTGGCCCCAAACACAATTTATTCCCTAGGTGGACGAGCTTAGAGTTTTCTGGGCCTTTGCCTCCCTGTTTCCTTACACAAAGCCACCTTCAGGTTTCCATTTCCTATTAAAGATGGCATCTGCTGTCATCACAAGTTCCCAGTGATCGGATCACGTGTGCTGCCCGGGTTTCTCGTCTACTCAGTYAGCTCAGGCACCGCCTGCAGACCCGGTGGGGCCCTGTCTGTGGAGCACCTGTCCTTCAGCCTTTGCTAGGAGGTCCTTGGTGGTGGGTGACTCCTAGACGCTTGGGCTGAAAGAGACCTCTTGTTCTGGTAGATTCCCAGCTTCTACCTCTTTCTTCTTTCCCTTATGCAGCCCAATCTTCTAGTGTCTTCCTAAACATGGAGGGGGACTTCATGAAGCCGGTCATCAGCATTGTGGACGAGTTGCTGGAAGCCGGGGTCAACGTGACTATATATAATGGACAGCTCGATCTCATTGTGGACACCATCGGTAGGAAGCATTGCTGAGGGACACATCGAGGCTGTTTTATGGATTGCGCTAGAAGGGAACCGGTCATGGACACATGAGTCTTGGGGTTGGTGACATTGGTGCCAAGAGGAAGGCCTTTTCCTGCTGTGTCCATCTACCCCCCTGACCTTGGCTCTTCAAGAAAGGGAAGCTGCATGCAGCTGTGACCCCTCAGAGAAGTCTGGGCCCTTCAGGTTTGGAGGCCCTTGACTATGATTAAAGGACAGGACAATGCCTGCCCCCTAACAACTCCCTGTGCCCAGGGGAAATGGCCTGTGGGGTCCTGAGCCCTGCCCTGTTGCCTTGCTGGCCAGCCTGTGCTCACTCCTGGTTTCAGCAAGGCCAGGCGGAGGCTCAGAGACTGGGTCTCAGAACTGGCAGGCACAGCGAGGCCCGAGATGTGGCAGGCGTGAGTCTCCTTGATGCTGGCAGGATTGAGTGGCCTTTTGACTTGTAGGCAAGGACACCAAGGACAGCTTGGAGAGCTGCTGCTTTCTGCCGTGAGCTGCCCAGGTGATCCTCATCCCCTCTCATTCCTGCTCCTTCTCAGTCCTCCTGACAGCCCCGTCAGCCTCCTGGGGTCCCTGGTTTCTTTCTAAAGATCTGAGGGCAGTGGAAGAATCAGAGGCAAAAATAGCTTCATAGCTGTTAGGTTCTCACTGTTAGCCTGAGTATCTCTGGGAACCTGTTAGAAATGCAGGTGCTAAGGCCATACCCAGAACCAGTGAATCAGAATTTGCATTTAAACAAGATCCCAGCAGAATTTTATGTTGCACATTATAATTTGGGAACCACCAAGTTATAAGACCTAGTCTCCCTCCTTCCCCCCGCCACACATTCTACCCAGGTGTTAATACCTGGCTCTTCTCTTTGTCCCTCTCCCAGGACAGGAGGCCTGGGTGCGGAAGCTGCAGTGGCCAGAACTGCCCAAATTCAATGAGCTGAAATGGAAGCCCCTGTACAGTGACCCTGAATCCTCCGAAACATCTGCTTTTGTCAAGTCCTACAAGAACCTGGCTTTCTACTGGATTCTAAGAGCTGGTCACATGGTGAGAGCCAACTTTTGTTCCAAATTAAAATCATGCTGAGCTGGGTTCCAAGATGACATAGCAAATGGAAAAATTTACACTTGGTATGATTAGACACAGTTGGAATATAGGTGCCCTGAAAACGTTGCATAAAATTAGCTTTAGGCAGAGCATGGTAGTGCATGTGTGTAATCCCAGCAGCTCGGGAGGCTGAGGGAGGCTGAGGGAGGAGGATCGCAAGTTCAAAGCCAGCCTCGGCAAAATTAAGGCACTAAACAACTCAGTGAGACCCTGTCTCTAAATAAAATACAAAATAGGGCTGGGGATGTGGCTCAGTGTTCCTGAGTTCAATCCCTGGTACCAAAAATAAAATAAAATAAAATTAGTTTTGGCTATGTGTATAAGCAATGTTTAGACTTGGGTCCCGTCTCTGAGATTTCTCATTCTGTACATGCACATATTCCAAAATATGAAATCCAAATCAATTCTGTTTCCAAGTATTTCAGATAAGGTATACTCATCTCGTATTAGTGTTTCATTCCTGTTAGGTTTGAATGAATATAAACTCATTTTAAAGAGTAAGTCCTCCAGAGAGAGTTACTTTGGGCTCTGTGTCCTTTATTCTTGGTTTAAATGAGTTAATTAGATATTTTTCCCTTAACAATTTGTCCTGGTCTGGGAAGAAGGGAAGAATTGCCTTCCTTGGCAATTTTCAGGGAATGAAAGTGAAAGCCTACTTCTCTGTCAAGCTGAGTCACAGAATGAAGGCCAGGAGCATCTCCAAGCAGTGGTGGCCCCAGGATTTGTTAAGAGGAGTCTTTGGGTGCAGCGATGAGCCATGAGCCTGTCATACTGCAGCACTTACAAAATGAACATACTGTCTTCCCTTAGGTTATTTGTTGATTGAGTGACTTTTCTTGAGTTGAGGGAGGTTATGGAGGCCTTAGTCCTGCCCCCAAATCCCTGTCCCACCCACATACCTGAAAAAGAGTTTAAGAAACTTTGGCAGGAGGCAGAGGGACCCCAGAGACTTCTTAGAGCAAACATCTGGTTGTCTGCTAAGTGCTAAACTCTGTGCTATATAATAAGTACTGGCAGCACAGAGATGAATGGTTCATAGTCCCTACCCTCAAGAAGTTCATGGTCTAGGGTACAGTCAGGACAGTAGATTTGKGTGCATGTGTGTGATACTGGACAATGAACCCATGGTTGCTCTACCCTAAGATACACCCCTTTTTTAAAATTTTTCATTTTGCTAAGTCACCTCTAAATTGCAATCCTGCCTCAGCCTCCTGAGTCACTGAGATATCAGACATGTACCAACATGCCCAGTGCAAATAGACTCTTCTTTTTTTTTTTTGATACTGGGGATTGAACTCAGAGGCACTTGACCACTGAGCCACATCCCCAGACCTATTTATTGAGAGACAGCGTCTCACTGAGTTGTTTAGTGGCATGTTTTTTTGCTGAGGCTGTCTTTGAACTCGCAATCCTCCTCCCTCAGCCTCCCAMGCCATCGGGATTATAGACGTGTGCTACTGCACTCAGCACAAGTAGACTCTTAATAGCATGGAGTAAGCAGTGCGGAGAAGGGATTGGACCAAGGAAGGGTCGCCAGCCCAGGCTTGGGGGTGTAGAAGCTTGGCCCCTCCATGATGAGCAGGAGTGAATTAGGTAAAGAGGAGAAGCAAGGAGAGCAGTGTGTGCACATGCTCAAGCGGGGCCTGCAGGCAGCAAGGCCTCTGGAGATGAGCTGAGGAGAGGTGAGCTTGGAAGGGGGACTTTCCACCCCACCCTGAGGAGCTCAGAGGTTAAGGGGCCACGGAGGGGACAAGCAAAGGAGGGCAATTGCCAGATCTGTCTATGAAATCATCTTCACAGCCGAGGGCATGGAAAAAGACTGAAGCAGACAATCTATAAGGGAGAAAAATAGAAGAATTTGCTCATGCAGAAGACGGGAGCATTGGCAGGACTTTGTAATCATTTGGGATGGAAAAGAAATGAAGGGTGGCCTCCTGGCTTCTGCTCCAGCACCCTGGCTTGGGGCAGGGAGGCAGTTTGCATCTGCTGAGTTTCATTTAACAGCCAAGTGCATAGTCCACAAGTGCTTCATATATAAACCGAATAGGTAAGGTCTGCAGTCAAGACCTAGAGATGAAGGTTTGGGAGTCAGAAACAGAGGAGGACGCAGCAGGACTGACTGAAGAATTACAAAGCAGAAGAAGAGCCACAGTGAGGTTGAGGCAGGCACTGCAAGAGAAGTAGGGAGACCTCGGACAGGTGGCATTTCCAAAGCAGGGTGAGACCAAGAACTGAAATGCAATGCCTGGATCCCAGGGTGGCTTTAGCGTCATGGTGAGCGCTTCAGTGGAAGGGCAGGCCCCAGAGCCAGGTGGAAAGTGGGAGAACATGAATGAGGAGTGAGGGAGGAGATGACAGCTTCCTTTAAAGGGAAGAATRTAGCCCTCCCCCTGAGAGGACAAGCAAGGCCACAGGGCCTGCRGATAAGGGGCATTCTCTATGGCTCCATGGATCTGGGCACCTTCATGCTGACTGGGTTAAAGCTAGCAGGAAGTCTTAGAGCAAAGCACTGGTTCCATGCGCTAACCTCTTACTTCCATTTCCTCTTGGTTTGTCACATTTAGAACAACAGACCAGTTGGGGACAGGCTTAAAATAACTCTTACACAGAATGTTGTTGTCACCGCCWATCACTTCCCCTTTATTTGATTAAATGCCTTGCCTCCTGGGGACTCTTGATTGACAGGGGAATTCYAGGACAGAAATGTACCAGAGAGAATCATGGAACCAAGGATTTCAGACCCAGAAGAATACCTACCTGCTCTACCTGTCTCTTTGTAGAGGAGAAACTGAGGCCTGTGACCCTACCTTTCTAGGTGGTGTATGGGAAAGAGTTTTTTTTATTTTTTATTTTTTATTTTTTTTGCAGGATTGAGAATTGAACCCAGGGATGCTCTACCACTGAGCTACACCACTAGCCCTTTTTATTTTGTAATAGAGCCTCACTAAATTGCCCAGGCTGACTTGAACTTTTGATCCTCCTGCCTTACCTTGGGAGTTGAGATTACATTTTATTCTAAAAAGCTAAAGGAAAACAAAAGAAACAACAGGAAAAAGGCCGGATGCCACCCACACCAAGGGTCTTGTTTGTATTTGTTCAAGGCTCTCCTGTTAGCCTTCCCTCAGCCTCTCCTCCATGCACTTCCCAGCCTGGGATCCCGTCTACATAGAGAATTCTTTAAAATGTTTAGCATCCTCTTTCCTTGAACAGGCTGATCCCAGCACCCTGAGCATAGCCCCTGTAAAGAAATCTATAAGGGGCTCCTGGGGATACAGCTCAGTTGGTAGAGTGCTTGCCTCGTGCGCAACAAGGCCCTGGGTTTTCAATGCCCAGCACCACAAAAAAGGAAAAAAACGAAATCAATAAGGCCTTGGGATGTAGCTCAGTACAAGAGCTCTTCTGAGCCTGCGTCAGGTCCTGGGGTCCATCCCCAGCACTAGGGGGAAAAAAGGGGGAAAAAAAGAAACAGATCAGCCCCAAATGCAATAAAACTTTCCTACGCTGCCTTCTCCAGGCCCCTGTCACCCAACACAGGGGGAGCTCAGAAGAACTTTAACCCAGCACAGGGGTCGTTTCCCAAAGGGACTCTCTCTTTAAGGGTGCACTGAGGTGCAGCTGTCCCCACTGGTGTTGTCTCAGGGCTGGCTCCCTCCTGGGAGCAAGGGTTCAGGATATTGTCCCCAACCTCAGCCCAGGAATGGCACTAGGAGCACTAACTTGGATCCTGCTTGGTTCTAGGTTCCTTCTGACCAAGGGGCCATGGCTCTGAAGATGATGAGGYTGGTGACACAGCAGGAGTAGGAAGTACCGAGCTGAGAGGAGCTGGCGTGGCCTGGAGGCGCTGGAGCGAACCGAGGACTGGAGGAAGCTGTGCTCCTCCCTGAATCTAACTCAGGCTGGGATTGTGAAGGCCCCTACCAGCTGCCGAGGCCTCGGGCAGCTTGGGAATCATTTCTGCTTCTTAAAAAACATTTTTTTAATGGATTTGTTCTTATCAAAGTGAAGGATTGTCATAGATTGACTTTTTCTGATTGCAAAATCAAAGGATATGATTTGTTTTTTAAAAAAGGTGGGAAATACAGTTAAGCAAAGAACAAAAGAAAGACTCATACCCTCCCTTTCCAGGGGTAAGCACTGCTACCAATTCAGTATCTAGCCTCACAGGTATTTTTTGGTTACATATATAGACATTTATATTTTTTACAAAAATGGAATCATGGCTATATTGTTATTTTACCATCTCCTGTGTTCAGAGATCAATATGTCCTAAACACCTTTTAATGTCAATAAATTCTTCTGTGACATTTTTAATGGCCTCTGAGCAATCCATTTTGTGGTCATACTATGGTGTATTTACCAAATTCCTGGTGGTTTCCCACAAGTGATTTCTAGTTTGTCACTATTTTAAATGGTGCTCTGGTGATTATTCATCCTGATGGTTATAGCTCTACGTRCCTTCTTGCTGTTTGCTTACAGTAAATTTGTAAAAGTGTGATTGTTTAGCCAAAGGATTGCCACATTTCTCTGAAATTAAAATAATAAACTCAGGGCTTTTAATTTAATTTTTTTTCTTTTTGGTACCAGTGAGAGAACCCAAGAGCACTTAACCACTGAGCCACATCCTCAGCATCCCCCCCTTTTTTTTTTTTTTGTATTTTATTTAGAGACAGGGTCTCACTGAGTTGCTTAGGGCCTTACTGAGTTGCTGAAGCTGGGTTTGAACTTGCAGTCCTCCTGCCTCAGTCTCCTGAGCTGCTGGGATTACAGGCGTGCACAGCTGCGCCTGGCGAGACTTTTAATTTTTAATTTGCAGCTCAAAGCCTGCACAAGGGACCTGATACTTCCGAGACTGTCCTATAATTGGAGGTTGGTTTGGAAAACCAAACCCAAAGTCTGTTCCTGCAGAATGTGGCAGGTTATATACTCATGGATGCAGGCTGAGCCTCCAGCAGGATTCCTTGGTCAGAGACTTTACTCTGAACTTCACTGTTAGTGAGCAAGCAGTCCTGTGTGCCCTGGAGAGGAAGAACATTAGAAATGCCTGTGCTGGGTCCCCCTGGACTTTACCAAGGCAAATCTATTTTCCTGCTGCTTTTGCTGTGTATCCTTCACTGTTGAGGAAGGAAGAAAAGAAAGAAAAATCTAGCTGTGAACATAACCTGCTTTTGAGTCTTATAAGTTCTTCTGGTAAATCACCAATTTACTTATTAATAAATAAGTAAAATTTAAAATTGAATTAAAACACATTGAATTCCCAACCTTTTCTTCCTTCCTAAAAATTAAAAGTCAGTGCATTGGGACCTGGGGATGTGGCTCAGAGATAGAGAACTTGCCTAGCGTGTGAGGCCCTGGATTCAATTCCAGCACCACAAAAAGTTAGGGCATGGGGCTGGGAGTGCATYTCAGTGGTAGGATGCGTGCTGAGTATGTGCATGCTCCTGAAGGTTCCATCCACAGCACTGCAAAAATAAATAAAAAGGATAGGTCTGAACCAAATGCTGGTTTGGCTGGGTAGTCTGGGTCTTGGGAAAAACTCAACTGAAAATTAAGACATGCGATCTGAGGACGATACAAAGCTAGATTTCTCTGAATGGCAGAGTATAGAGATACTCATGTCTCACGTGAATGCTCACCAGAGGGTAAAGGAAGATKGTCATAATCAGGCCAGGGGGATGACCCAGTCTGAGGACATCAGTCAGCCTCCTTCTCCAGCCAGTCCTTTGGTTCAGGAGCAAAGTGGCCATGGCAACAGAGATGGAGATTGTGCACGCTCAGTGGCACKGACTTCCACTCACCAAGGCTGACCTGGCTACAGACACTGCTGGGTACCTCATCTGCCAGCTGATGAGACAACACTTAGCCCCTCATATGCCTGAGACGGGCCAGCTTCCTGGTGTTAGGTTGATTACCTTGGACCACTTTCATTATGGAAGAGGCAACACTTGCTTCTTAATGGAATTGATGCTTGCTTTGGGCATAGACTTGCCTTCCCTGTCCACCATGTTTCTGCCAAAACTACCATCTATGGATTTGCAGAATATCTTCCTYACGGTCAAGGCATTCACAGCAAATGGAACGCAGCAGCGGGCTTATTCACATGGACYGTGCCAATTTCACCTTGGTCCCCATCGTCCTGAAACAACTGCCTTGACAGATGGTTAAATAGTTTTTTTGAAAATTTCAGTTACCGTGCCAGCTAGGTGGTGAGACCTTGCAGGGCTGGGGTATCATCTTCCCCAAAGTGATGTAGGTTCTAAATCAGCAACCACATTGCTCCCTTACCCATGACGCATGATCCAGGAATCCAGTGATAAAATGAGAGTGACCCCCTCTCGATAGTAACCCTATCCAGCAGGAAATCTTTGCTCTTCATCCCTGTCCTTCAGCTGTGCTGGTCTAGAAGTCTTGGTTACAAGGAAGGAGAATATTTTCACCAGGAGGCAGAACGCCACTGAACTGGAACTTGAAGACACCATCTGGCCTCTTTGGGCACTGCATCAACTGGTAAAGTGCTGGCTGAGGTGAGGATTCTGCCTGGCCTGGCTCTCAGGGGAAATTGGGTTGCTGGTCTACAATGGCGGCCAGGAGGAAGAATGCAGGAGACCCTCTGGTCCACCCCTGAGAGCTTCAGTGTCCTCTGATGAAGGTCAATGGAAGACTATGAAATCTGATTTAGATTTCTAATGGCCCAGACCCTTTGTGGAAAAAGATGTGAAGATAGAAGGGAGACCAGTAGAGTAGAGGAGGGGGATGGAGAAGGAAGGAGGAGGAAGTACAAGGGACAAATCTACAAAATGATGCTAAGTCCATGTTCTAATATACCACARGGAGGGGCTGGGGCTCATAAGTAGAGGGCTCGCCTAGCTGGCGTGAGGCCCTGAGTTCGATCCTTAGTACCCCATAAAAATAAAATAAAGGTATTGTGTCCACCTACAACTAAGACGTAAATGTTGAAAAAAAATGCCACAATAGATTCCACTTATGTGTATAATTATAATACACTAATTCATAATAGCAGGGTGCAGTGACACATGCCTATGATCCCAGTGGCTTGGAAGGCTGAAGCAGGTGGATTGAAAGTTCAAAGCCAGCCTCAGCAAGTTAGTGAGGCTCTAAGCATCTTAGTGAGATTCTGTCTCAAAATAAAAAGGGTTGGCAGGGCTRGGGATATAGCTCAGTTGGTAGAGTGCTTGCCTCACATGCGCAAGGACCTGGTTTCAATCCTCAGCACCACAAAAAGAATTGAATTAAATTAAAATAAAATAAAATAAAATAATAAAAAGGGCTGGAGATGTGTCTCAGTGGTAAAGTGGCCCTGGGTTCARTCCCCAGTACCGAAATAAATAAATAAGAATAATAATAGGAGGGAGGTCAGAATAGAGCAAACAGGTCAGGGGAAGGAGGTGGAGAGGGAAAGGGAAGAGACTAGGGAATGAGATGGATCGGATTATGTGCTTGCACAATTATGGCAATAATCAATCCTACTATCCAGTATTATTATAATGCACCAATAAAAAAAAAAGTTGGAGTCATTCCATGAGGCAAGGACTCCTGAGCCAGATGAGTGCATTTAGTGATGCAAAGATGTGCCCAAGACCTGGGTGATTCCGTCCTGTGCACTGCCCTTGGGACCTCCACTTCATGCTTGGATTCTCCTGGTCTCCATTTCCCACCCACTCCACTTTCCCCTCTGCTGGCCCCAGATACCTCCACACAGGTTGTTGACCACGACAGCCTCAGGGAGACTGCCTGTCCAGCAGCCCCACACTGCAGAAGTCCAGTCCCYAGTAATACACCTGATGTGCGTCTCTGTTTCTCCAAATGAATTCTGATTAATAGAGTTGTTTCAACTTAATTATTTTAATGCACTAAAACTTGCCCACGACTGGGGTCTGCATGTTTGATGATGTCTTTCTGCGACCTAGACAGGGGATCAATAGCTTGATCAGGTAGAGAACTTGAGCAATAGCTTCCCCTTCTCCTTGGYATCTAATGTTGCAGACAAATTTGAAACCAACTTGCCTTTTCTTCTTCAGTCTTGAAACAGTTTATCTTAATACCCAGATGCTGTTAACTTCTTTGTTTAATAATGCAAATTGGTAATTTCAGATATTTACATTAATGTTTCTATTTATGTTATTATAATAGATGTATTACAATGTTTTGATCCTGTGAATTGAACCCAGTGGCATTTTGCCATTGAGCCACACCCCAGCCGTTTTTTAAAAATTATTATTATTTTTTAGTATGAGACAGAATCTTGCTAGTTGCTGAGGCTGGCCTCAAACTTGCCATCCTCCTGCCTCAGCCTCCTGAGTATTTGGAATTACAGGTGTGCGCTGCTGCACCTGGTGATGTTTCTAGTCTTTAATTTTGCCTGACACGGAGTGAGCTTTCTCTTCCACAGGTTCAGATCTTCAGTTTGACGACATTTTCCATTGTATATTTGAATATTTTAAGGATCTGTTTCCCCACTTTTTTTGTCCTTTACCCTCTATTCTAAGTACCTTTTCTCATGACTACTCTCAACATCACTACTTCATTTTCACCGTTCTGCAATTATCTTTCTCCTTAATTCATCTTCCCTAATTATGCCAGCTGCTATTTCACCATATTACTCTTGTCTTTTTATCTCCTTTTTAATTTTTTTATTTCATAGACTCCACAATGACTTTAATTTCCCTGAAAGGAGGCAAAGTATTTATAATTCCCTAGTGTGAATCTTCAAAGGAAAGTTCCTCATCGATCTTTTGTACTTTGTGTTAATTTCCTCCATTTCAGTTACGGGGTTTTCCCCTCTATGCTTATATATTATTTGCTGTTTGACTTATTTGTTTGGTTTTGGTTTTTGAGACAGGGTCTTGCTGTCTATGTTGCCTGTGTTACCCAGGATGACCTTGAACTCATCAATCTACTGCCTCAGCCTCCCCAGTAGCTGGGACTACAGGCTTACACCTCTGTGCCTGGTCTCCTATGTTTGTTTTTTTTTATTCATTTACGTCTTTGAGGGAAGGCAGTTATATAATCTAATKACCCATCCCGCTCATCTGGTTATTTTTTGGTTTGTCTCCTTGGCTCTTGTTCAGGAAGACTGGATATGATGGATCTCTACGGTCTGTGTAATCTTTCACCAAGGAAGGTGAATGCTGGGATCTTGGGCAATAAATATTGGGAACTTATTCCCTGTGGCCCATTTGGGGGAGTGTTTGCTACCTAATGGCAGAAATGCTCACAATTCATGTTCTTTTGATTCAAGATGAACCTGATAAGAAATAAAGCCAAAAGAAACTTGGGAACATCCTGTTTGATGGGTATGTTAGTTATCTATTGCTATGTGTTAAATTATCCAGTAACAGAGTGACTTAACATTAAAATATATATGTGATAATATTTTAATAAAGTATGTCAATTGTAGATAGACACAATATCTTGATTTAATTTATTTTACTCTTTTAGGTGGTGCTGAGGCTCAAACCCAGTGCCTCACACATGCTAGGCAAATGCTCCACCACCGAGCCACAGCTCTAGCCCTTCCCAGAACATTTTTTATTTGACAGCTTCTATGGGTCAGGAATCCAGGTGTGGCTCACCTGGGTCTTCTATCCTCYCTCACACAGAGCTGCAATCCAGATGTTGGCCAGAATCCCAGTCATCTCAGACTCAACTGGGGTAGAATCTGCTTCCACTCTCACCCACAAGGTGATTGGGAAGAGTCATTTCCTTACAGAGCTGTTGAACTGAAGGCTGCCCTTAACCCCTTGTCATGCAAACCTGTCTACAGGGCAGCTCACAACAAGGCAGCTGGCTTCCTCTGAGCAAGGAATATGAGTCAGAGGGAGAAAGTAGAGTACAAGAAAGACTGTCTAACCAAACCTCAGAAGTTATGTCTCATCAGTAACCTATTTGTGGGTTGTTTTTATTTTTTTTTTTTGTCTGTTTATTTGTTTTTGGTACAGGGAATGAACTCAGGGGCACTCAACCCCTGAGCCACATCCCAGCCCTATTTTGTATTTTATTTAGAGACAGGGGTCTCACTGAGTTGCTTAGTGACTCACTTTTGCTGAGGCTAGCTTTGAACTCATGATCCTCCTGTCTCAGCCTCCCAAGCTGCTGGGATTACAGGTGTGCGCCACTAAACCCATCACCTATTCTATTCTTTAAGGATAAGTCAATACGTCCAGTCCACAATGGAGATTACACAGGGCAGGAGCAGGAGGTGGGCATTTCCAGGAGCCATTTAAAAGCTGCCTCCTACAGTGGCCTATCCCATACTCTTTCCTACTTCCCTCACCTCAGAACTCTTCTTATCAGGAGCAAGGTCAGAGGAAAAAGCATGGTCCTATGTGGCTTTTCAGGCTCTCCTCACTTATCCTTCCACATTGGTAAGGAACGTGCTCCTGGGGATGTTTTAAGCTTCTCAGGAGACCTGCCTGACTTCTGGTCCATTGCAAATTGGATGGATGTTAGCAAAACCCTTAAAATTGCATCCAAGTGGGTGCAGTGGCACATACCTGCAGTAACTGCTTCATGGGAGGCTGAGGCAGGATTGCTTGAGCCCAGAAGTTTTGAAACCAGCCTG